TCCCCACAGCACAGCTGGCTGACCACCCGCCAGGCCGACTTCGACCCATCCTCGGAGGAGGACATCCCCATCGCCATGGCCAAAGCAGCAGACCCTGAGGCTTGGGACGTGTTTTGGTTCTTCCGTCGGTAAGGGGAAACCCAGTACAAGGTACAAGGTAAGGGGCCGAAATAGACTTCCCAGCCATCCGTTTTTTGTTTTGTTTTTTGTTTGAAGGTTTTTCGTTGGTGCAGTGCCCGTTTCCCCACCGAGCCAGTTTTCAACTTTTCGCCGGGGGATCCGAAAACGGGCAGAGATCAAAGACTGGTGTGTGAGTTGGGTTAGTAACCCCTTTCGAAGGAAGACGCGCCTGAGGAAGAGCCCGAGCAGGCGGAGCCGGAGGAGTCTGCTCCAGCAGAGCCGGCGGAGGAGAAAGCGGAGCCGGCGCCGGCGGCGGCAGAGGAGGCGCTCCAGCGGTGTTTCGCGCGGTTTGCTTGCCGGTGCGATCTCGGTAGGGAAGGAGTTGGAATGTGCCCCCAGGGATTTGGTCTGAAAGGAAACCACCAGTTGGATGGTGGACACAGGGGCCATTTCGATTCTCATTCCCTACTGAGCACCAGCGAGCGTTTTTGCAAGTTGGATTGGCCCTAGAACCCCAAGTTTTTTTGCCAGGGATGGTGTGTAGCCAAAGCACTGCCAATCACCAAACAACAAGCTCTCACACTCTCTGGGAAGAACGAGCAAAAGGGCTTCATGATGGCCAAATTCCTCGCGTATTCCTTTTTTATTGCACTGGGTGAATAGTTTATCAATCATTTCGCCCAGATCGGAACGATGATCCTAGTGGGAACGAACTGGCCACAGCTTCGCCCCTTTTCTGGCGCTACTGGTTCGGAAGCTTGCACAGCCGCGCAACTTAGCCTTTGGCAAGGGCACACATTGTGAAGAATCGATGTGGGTGTCTTTTTTGAGGCTTGTAGCGGTTGGCTTACAAGGGAACCAAAGGGACAACAGCCTCTTCTTTTTTTTTTCCGGGATCCCCTTCTTGACACATACCAATTTTCCGTGGTTGTATGTCCCCCATGTGGCTTACAAGCATGGTTGATAAGTGGCACTTGCCTGCTTTTGGCACTCGCTTGGATCGCAAAGAAAGCGGTCGCCTCGCAAAGCGACACCCTATGAAACAAGGGGAGGCCAAGCTGTCCAGGTGAAGATGCAGACTGGCCAGTGGAATTCTAATTTTGGAAGCCCTTCGAAATCCACATATTTCACCTGGGTGGGTGGCGTGTGTCTGTATTCGGACCTTTCAAACTGGAATGGTGCAACGGGGTTTTCCATTTTGGCCAACAAAAAGCGAGGACGCGACGTGAAGCTTTGATCAGTTGGGTTGGATCCCCCTGCCTGTTCCCAAAGTCGTCGCCTGACATCCGCTGCCACCTGAGGTGCCTGCGGCGGTTGTTCCGTCCGCGCAGGGAGGCGGAAGGGGCTTCTCGGTGGGTGGTTCTCGCTCTGGCGGCATTTGTTGGCAAAGGTGGCATTCCTTCGCCATGAGGAAAAGTGTTACGGCAGAGTTGTTTATCTAGAAAAGGGCTTTTGAGCCGCAGACAAGTTTTGGCGCCAAGGAAAGTGATGGCCCAACCATTGGATGTCATTACAGTCAAACTGTCAAAACAGCTGTTGATGTTAGATAGCGAGGATCATGCCATTTGATGCAGCCATGCTTTTCCCGGACTTGTCCACCATCTCTCAGCAATCCCAGCATAAAGGAATCATAAGCCATGGGAGCCATCCAAAAAAAGAACATGGGGCATCAACCCTGACAGAGCAAAAGCCAGTTGCACCTTTGGCACGTCCACCAAACTTCATTCGCAATGCGCGTCCTCCCCGCGCGCGAAGGCATTTCGCCGCAAGAGTCCTTGCCTCGGGTGAGAGGGCCTTCCGGAACGCCTGCAGTGTTCGAGTCGATTCACGTCGAGTCCTTACCCCAACCGCCAAACGCACCAGCAGTTTCCCACGGTTTCGGCCGCGAGTTGGCAGGGTGGAACTGCCTTCGAACGAACTCGAGCCTCCTGAAGCGAGCCACAAATTCGGGTTGCGAAGATCGAGCGAAGGGCCCCTTCAAGACACCCCGGCAAGGTTAGGTTGGAGTGTCGTGCCAGCTACTGTAGTGGCCTGTGGCACTGCCACCCCCCAGAGCAACAAGAAGGAATCGGTTTTCTCCAGCGGTTTCTCGTGGTGTCTTTTTGGATAGCAGCAGGGGGTTCACCACTTTGAGGACCACGTCGCAGCATGCTCCTTTCGTGCTCGCTCCGAGGTGCGCCCCGATGCCAGCGAGGCAAGCGGCAAGCCGGGAGCTGGATCTGGGACCCGCTCCGCGAGTAGCGCTCTTGGGCTCGGGTTTTGCGCGCTGCTTTGCCCCGCTCCTTTGGGTTTCCTTTTCAGGTTGTGTTTTTGGCGGGCCCCAATTGCCACATTCCAGACCCCCCAAATGGCCACCTGCGGCATTGGTAAGGCAGAGTTTCGGGAAGTTGCCACTTTTGGTGCATGGAAGACAACGAAATGGATCGGCGCCAAGCTCAGAAAGATACCCACTTGAGCGGAGAAAATTCTCCGCTCATCAACTTTCGAAGTACGAAGCTTGACTGAGTGGCGCACGCCTCGCAAGTAGAAGTATACACTGAAACCCACTGTATATAATGTGCACACACACACACACATAAACCCTGAACCTCCCACCACACCCCTATACATGCTCAGAAGTTCAACATTGACCCCAAGTAACCTCTGACTCATACCATTCCTCAACCGGCTCCAACTAAAGCATCTAGCGGGCAAGGAATTGCGCCTTGGACCCTTGTGGTTCCCCGAGATCCGGATAAATGCTGAACGAGCCCACATTTTGAGTACCTCATTTTGACATGCAATTATTTGTGTGGGCTCTTTCGCAAGTGTGCAGGTTCACTGAGGATGTTTGTCGCGATCCCAGGTCCTACACCGTTATCTTAACTCAATGGGCCGGATTGACCAGTTTGTATGCTGGACATCAAGACTCCAAATCGGAATGGATGCCTTGTTCACTGTTTCCTTACCAATACAATCATCGGGGCGTGCAGGCAACAGACCTCAGCACGAAATTCGCAAATGATGTTGACAGCTCGTTTGGGCAGGGAGCTGCTTGCGCTGAGGGGATCCTTTATCACAGACCCGTGCCGGCTGAATGTGACCTTCCTTTGCTTTGGTGCATTTTGCTTGGATGTTAGGACTTCATTTTTTTGCCAACTAATGGGTTTTTCATCAAACCACGAAAAGTTAAAAACTTTTAGCCGGGGAGCAGCAGGCAACCGAGTTTGGGTGGGAGAATGTTTGACTTCGGATGAATCCGGACCCTGGTAGTCAGCGAAAACCACCCAACAGATTCCTTAAGTAGGGGGGAGGATCTCACGACAGGACCCCCCCCGGTTTCACGCCAGGCCACCTTGGCCTTCGACGGCCTTCCGGCAGACCCGCACCATCCCCGTGCCGAAGCGCCTCTGCAAAGAGCTCCAAGGCGAGCGCAAAGGACGTCGAAAGAGCTCGAAAGGCGATCGATTTTTCGTTCCTTCTTTTTGGACCGACTTTTTTTTCTTCCAGGTTTCGGTGTTGGACAAATCGAGGGGTTCCCACCAGTTTAGACTGGTGTTGTGCCATCCGTTTACCCGGGAAACCTGTCTATGGTTGATTTTGGGAACTGGCCGCCTATGTTTGTGGTTAGGTCCATTTCTTGAAGGGGCTTCCCGCTCCGCCGAGCCAACTTTGGCGTGTCCGCGTGCTTTCCCTTCCAAGCGCGTTATGGTTGGTTTTCTTATGTGTCCTCCTGGTTTTCTTTGCGACGATGTGAATCCACATACTCTTGGCTGCCAAAGAAAAGGGACGCCCTACGAGCCTCCCATTTGAAGAGACATCTGCGGACTCCATGGTGTCAGAAGGTAAGTACTGCGCGCGAGCCGCCAGGCGCTTGCCCAGGCATGCAATTTGAGATTGAGGACAGGCAAAGAGGGGGAGAGCTGTCAGAGACAACGGGGGCTTTGAAGGTTCGCTGGGGCAGGGTGGGGGTTCCAGCTAAAAGCCACATGTCGAAGACTGAAAGTACGAGGCTAGCGATCCCTCTTGCACATCTCTGGCGCCTGTTCGCCTTCCAGAAAGGCTTTTTTCACGGGTATGGTTCAGTTTTGGGTTGGCCCGTATTCATAGGGATCCTGAGTTGCCCAACCACAAAAGCCGTACACAAAAACAAGAGAGCAACGTCTCCGAAATGGCTGTGGCTCGAAAAAATGGCCCCCAAAAATGACGGTAAATGGAGCCCAGGACGAAAACCTGCGGTTTGCCCCAGCTCTTTAATTTTGAGCCACACCCTCACAAGTCAGGATCATAATCATAGATGTCCTTTCTGGGAAAACGGACGGATGGGTTTAGTAGGTTACGAGGCCCAAGACAACTAGGTTTCCCAGTAGTGCCCGTTCACCCTTTTTTGGGGTACCCTTATATGTTCTAACCTCTCGACTGGAGAACCTAGACCACCAGGTTTAGCCGGTCATGAAGCCCAACCCCAAAGAACCAGGGCCATGGATTTTTTCTACGACTGGTGATCCATGAATTTGGTCTTCGGAGGTGCCCGCTGCGACCCGGGACTCGGGCGGGGTGATGGCTCCAAGGGGTTCTCTTGGGCTCCGTGGCAATCCGGGAGGAGTGGGGTAAGGGCTTGGCTACAGGAAAATCTACAGGAAATGGCCCCAAAGCCGCCTAAGTAAGCCCAACCCTTTATGGCCAAGCTGATGGCGTTTTGGGGGTGGGCTGGGAGTCTGGGAGGAGGGACCTGAAAAAAAAGGGACTCTGATTCGCCATGGCAAGGTTGCGTGGCCGAGGGTGGGCGTACCTTGTTATGAGGGTATCCCATTTTTGTGTGTGACTGTAAAGTGAGAGAGAACCAACATGAAAACAACAGCACATTTTCGGGGGTCAGTACACCGCCCAGCTGCAAGATCAGGATGCCGAGGGTTTGCCCAACTTCGCACGGGTCACCTTCGATGCGGAAGACTTCTCCGCGGTACAAGCTGCGGTGACGAAGATCCAGAGGCCGTTTAATCGTGAAGAACCGAAGGGTACGTTGGGTAAATGGTGCGTTGGTTATGACTTATAACTCATAACTGTCTTCTTCCGATGAACGAGGATTACAACCATGGTGGGTTTTTGGAAGTACCCGAACAAAAAGGTGTTTCGGACGTGGCCAAATTTGCGAATCACTGGCCCAACCTTGTCCATGGGGTGGTTTTGCGGGGACCCAACGGATGTGGCTTCTCAAGGCTTCCCTTGAGTCTTTGGGGGCTTTGTCGGCCGATTGTTTGGGCAGCCAAACCCAAGAAAACAAGCGTCGACCTATGTCAGCAGTTGGCGTGGCCAAACCTGAGCTTGTCAACCACCAGTGTCTAGGTAGCAAGCGCAGGATGCCAGCCATGCGATCCCTGCAAAACTAGGAGGTCTTTGCAGCATGGAGCCACATCACACGACTGGGCGTGATGCAACACCATCAAAACGCCTGGGTTTCTATACAAACCTTGTGGGTAGTTTCAAGAGAACCCACAAGGACACATAGTCAGGGAAACAATTTTGGGACAATCTCTGGCTGTCTCCCCATCGCCTGGGCAACCTGCCGCCATTGCTCTACCTTCGTTCTCCTGCTACTTACCATTCAGGTTGGAGTTTGCACCTTGGCGTTCACAACAACCACCGGTCAAGTTGGCAAACCAATGGGCCCCCCGGATTTTGATGGGCCCGTCCTATTCATATCACAGGTCAGACATGGCCAGACGAAGTGATGAATCCCCAAGCCCAGGAACACCCATGGCCCCTGCGCCCAAACCGCCGAGCCTAGCACGCCGCGAGGGGCGGCTTCGACGCAGTGGAGCTGATCGCCGTGCGGGAGGCCAGGCGTCAGCTGCAGCGGCTCAGTGCGGAACAGCCCGGGACCCCAGCGAGCGCGGCCGGGCTGGACCGGAACGGTCGGCTGCATGGGTCTCCGGCGGTTTTTGGGTCTCTGGCGGTTGAGACAGGTACGCCGCAAGTAGCACAAAGACAGAAAGACAAAAAAGTAGCAGGTGGTGTTCTGTGTGTTTTCCCCCGTGAGCATCCTTTGGCTTGACTCAGAAAGGTTTGGTGTTGACCGTCGACCAAGTTTTATTCTTTTCGGTTGCTGGGAGTCAGGGAAGGGGCGGAAGGAACATCCAACCGACAGATGGGTCACAAGAACAGATGGATTTCAACTCGTGCCCCAGTTGCTCAGGAAATCAACCGTAATTTGCTTAGAACCCCGTCGCCAATTTGCAGTCACGGATAAGGACGATCGTTCAATTCATTACTGGGGCGTGTTGGTTTACCCTGTTTTCAGGGGTGTGCTTCGCTTTGACACACGCAGACAACTGAGACAACTGCCCGAGACAACTGCCCGGCTGCCTTCCCTGCCAGCACGAGCAGTGTCAGCACAAAGTGGACCCATTTTTGTGTCGTTTCTTTTCGGTTTCCCTCCACCACCCATTTTGAGAAACCCGCAGTGCAGCACACTCTGGCAGCGTTGCCACGAAAGGGAGTGTTTTTCGTTTTTTTTTTTTTTCTATTACGAATCCCCTGCAAGGCTTGAAGGGTGTGGGTTCTTGCGGGAAGCCAGCGAGAAAACCCGAGGATGGGCATCGCCGAGACGGTGAAGTTCGAAGATACACAGGACGGAGCGCGAAGCTGCCCGAAGCTGCCCGAAGCTGCCCGAAGCTGATCAACCCCAGATACCTGTAGTCTTTTTTGGAGAGTTTCCGACTAGAAACCAACAACCAAAGCAAAGAGCGCCTCTGTCTTCCCATGGAAATCCACTCAGCCGGCAGAAGGCCAAACCTGAGGACTCTTGTTTCAAGGGTCTACCGGCGGGTCTACCGGCGGGTTTTAGCGGCGGCTCCTATCCGTCGGTTCGCAGGAGCAGCGGCGGGCGGCGCTGCGGGGCCGCGCCAGCGAGGTGGACCGGGCCTGGCTCTGCACCGTGAAGGCCGGGAACAGAAGTTCTTCCGCTTTCATTTTGGGGGTCCCCTAAAATGTACATTTTAGGAAACACCCAAAATGCACACAGTTTGCAGCCTCTTCTGACTGGATGCCATGGCTTCCACTTTTCCATTGGATATGTTCTGACAGGATGGCATCCACCGTCGAAACGCGACGGCGCGTTGGTGGGTGGCATGGGTGACCTGGAGGTGGATCAATAATCCCTTCGGCCCGACTTGAAATCCATTTCGCGCCACCGTGCGGAAATACTGGAATGATTCGATTTCCCGATAAATGCCGACAAACGTTAGGGTTCAGCCATGGCCGGAAAAGTGGTGCAGGAGTTCGTCCATCCACAGAATGGAGGTTGATCAATATTCCATTTAGGGTCCCTGGCCATGACCAAGGGCTCCACTTTTCATGTGGGACATATCACCTTTGTGGTTTTCCCACCAATCGTCATCCCATGTAAAGGACCTTTTGATCAACCCCCGAATGGCTCCGAATGAAAGACCTAAGGTCCCCAACGCGAATGCCTTCGCTTGCAACCCGGGTGCAGTGTTGTGTGAGAGGTTTCTGGGGTCTCATGCCAGCACTTTTTGTTTTGGTCAGGGGGAAAATGAATGATACACAGATTCTGAACATGACACGTGCATTTTGCGTGCCAAGTAGGTGGGTCGGCCTGCGAGGGACGCCCAAACCAACGAAGGGGCGAAATTTTAGGGCTTCTTCATTACTACTGATTCTACTCGAGGAGTCGATTGTCTAATTTTGTTGGGATCGCTTTTTTCCACTTCCCGAGTTCCTTGATGTTCCTGGCCTTGAAACTTGGTTGGCAATTTTAAGCTTGTTTCGGCCAATCCGCGCGATGGGAAGTGAGTTGGTGTACCATTCGGAAAGACTCTGGTTGGTTCTATTTCGCAGCTGAACAAGGGGTCCCTTGGCTTCAGAGACACACTGGCACGCCCTTGAAGGGGTCAAGGCAAACCAGGCGCCCATGTGGGAACCTTGGAGAGATCTTTCCGAGAGCAGCGAAAGGTTTCGCAACTGCCCGGTTGGTCCACACCAACACGTCCTGTTCGCACATCTTGGATTGCAGATTCCCATGGACATGTTGTGGGAATCAGCACTCAGGGCCATCGGCGATCGGTGCGTCTCAGCACTAACCACACCTTGGCACCAAGGATGTTGAACCACGGAGAACTCAACAATGCAGAGGTTGAGGTAGACAAAACAAGCATTGCCAGCGACAAATTGATCAAGCAAAACGGCAAGCCGTATGTTGGGGGGGGGACTTGCAGACATAATATGACCCCATGTCTTCCTCCCAAACTGTGCTTGACCTTTTGCGGCCTGGCCTCGCCAATCGTGCAGGCCGCCCTGGGCAAGGCGCGAGTGGGTGAGTTTCCTTTTGGCCAGCCCGCCCAAAGGAAAGAGGGAACTCATAGGGATCTCCAGGGTGCACTTTTTTGTTGGGATGCCTCCAACTAACATGGCACCTGTTGGGAGGTACCTGGAAGATTAATTTCCTTTTGAAGGGACCCTCTGTCAGTTGCCATGTTAGTGGGAGGGAGGGCAGGTGTTTTGGAAAGATCTAGTTCCGGGTGAGTCACCAGCTGAAATGAGGATCCCATCGAATATTGCTACTCAACTCGCGGAGCCCGTCAGCCATGAAGGCCGCTTGCTTGTGGACGCCGTGAATTATCGTGCAAGTTGGTGTTTGAGTTGGTCGCTCGAAATCTTTCTTACTATCAACCTGACCTCAATTCAACTTGTGCAGATTTGTGCGTTCCAACGGGGTTCCTTTGGAGCGCCGCTCATGGCGCGGGCACGCCACAATCAAAAGCTGGGTAGCAGGTAGGGTCCAACAAGAGAAAGAGATGCAGACAGGGATTCTTTGGATTCTTTCTGGCCACACCCCCTTTTGCCACCGGCATTTGATTGTGACTGGCTGCTCTGCCTAAGACTCACCTAGAAAGACTCACCAGGACTTTGGATCCTTGTGGGTCGCCCCACGGATCTTTTGCGTGTTGCTTCCGCGGCTGGACAGCACCCCCGTGAGTTGGGGGGTTGGCCCCTTTGTGGACCCTGGTGTCCCTCCTCCTTGGCACCACTCCGGGATGCTGTGGATAGCACCAGTAGGTGGTTTAGCAACCAGTATTCATGGGCCTTCATGCATCCCAACTGGAATTTGGTCCATCCGCACGTCCAGCTGTACCCCCTGTTTCTGCAGAGAACGATGGGTGAAGAGAATTGGGGGAATCAACCCATAGAACAGTATCTGGGAGAATTTGGCCTTCCCGCACAAGGGTGTTGACCACAAGCCAATTGGTCAATGCTGCATTCCAACGAGTGTGAACTCTGGGACCCCGTTCGGGGAAAGGAACCCTGAACCCTGACATCGGACAGTCCGCTTTTCCGCACTTCCTTTTAGACCGTGAGAGAAAGCAGCGGCGCAGCTAAGAACATCTGCCCGCTCGCACGATGTGCCAAGCCCTTGTGGTTGCCTTGTGGTTGGGTTTCAGGTTGGATTTCTGCTGAACCGAAAAGCCGTGTATATATTTTACCTTAGATACTGAGCCAAACAACAATTGGACCAGGGCCCAGATCTATCTGACTCCGCCATGTTTCGGTTCCGATCGATTTGGATGAAGCGACCGAGGCTTCCGAGAGGGACCTGCGAGGCGGCCTCGCATTTTCTTGTGGCGGGGTGCTGACATTTGGCGAAAAGGATATTTCTCTATATAACGACAGCCTTTGGGGGTCCATGTTAGTCTGAAGGGGAGTAACTATTGAAGCGCTTACAGTAGATGTTGAACCCACAAACAGCACTGAGGAACAGGCTATTGCCCGCGCTCTTGAAATCCATTTGTTGTTCCTTTGAATTTCCACCCAAACATGGTCACCCCCAACTGGGATTCTCTGTTTCTGGGGTCACTGGTTGCAGCTGGGAAAGGGTTCCGAGGGCCCAAGATTCGGCGGGCTCCAAGATTCCGAGCAGAGGCATCCATCTGGGTTTGGACACGTCCCCAGGTCTGCACCGACCAAAAATGACAAACAAACGATTCCCCCCACCAGCTCCCCCGGAAAAGCAACACCAAAGAGGGGGTCCTCAAACAAGGCACCCTTGAACAAAAAGGGAAAGCTTCGTCAACGGCACGGCCGAACAAGACCACGACACCAAGGCGCTCAACATTTAAGCACCAGACCGCTTTTCGTCCAAACTGTTTCCTTTACGGCCCATTTTTTTTTGTGGGGGGGGGGGTTGTCCTCTTTTTTTGCGCCACTCTCATATTTTGAAGCAGCGCGACACATCGGCGACACATCGGCGTCGCAGGCGAGCGGCCCAAAGACCGGCGCGACCGCCGCCGCGAGCCCCGCGAGCCCCGCGAGCCCCGCGAGCTCCGCCGTGCGCGGGAAGGCGTGCAGCTGATGGAGCGGTCCCTTGGACTCCGGCGGGACATGGGGAGACGACCCAGGAGTCAGTAAACCCGTCCCATCATTAGGGTGTTCCCTCCAAAAGTGGTCTGATTCCCCACGAAAAGGGGACACCCCCCGATTTTTTTCAAGCAGGGGTTGATTAATCCGGGGTTGACATTAGGGAAACCATAGGGAAGCCAGAACGTGTTATTTCTCCCACAACCACGGTTCAAAGTGCTAGGCCCCTCCGCAACTGCTCAAAATGCATAGCAGCAAGTTTTAAACGCATCGCCAATGCTACCTTTTTTGACCTCAATTTGGGCAGGTTTTATGGGTTGCGCGTTTCCTCCGTTTCGAGTTGCCTTCGACGCCGCTAGTGAATTGATGAACTTTTGAAGTCCCCCAAACAGCGTGGTTTCCTTTTGATGTTTCTTTAGTGTATTTCTAGGGGGTGACTTCCCATTCTTTTAAACCATCGTTCTTTTCAATCACAGCTGTTTCCCCAGGGGTTTTTGGACGGTTTTCTGAAATTGGAAGGTACCCCTAGAATATTCCCACAAGGTTGGCCTCAAAGCCCACTTTGGGGCTTGGGAGTGCGGAGCGCAAGCGGCCGATCAACAGGAAGCTGCAAGTCAAACAGCTCGCCTTTGGTGAAAGGAGGCTCGCTTCCCTGAGACATAACCTGGAAGGCCAACTTGTTCCAAGGGTTGGAGTTGTAGAAAGCAACACAAAACAATACGAGGTGGACTTAAATGGCTGTGGGTCGAAACCAATGGTATCCCATTTTGGGGTAGGTGCACAACCCGTTTTGGTTTGTTTTGGTGGGGATTGGGATGTTCACCGGGAGTGCGGGCTTTTGGCCCATGGCCAAATACCCATTGGCTGATTGCCCACGGGAATTTTCTGGGTTCAAGTCTTCTTGGCAGCCAACAAATGGAACTTCGTTTCCAACAATCGCGGAAGTTCCACCTCAAGAACCATGACCGTGAGGAACAGACCCCCTCCCCAACTTAGGAGCTGCCGAGCAAGGCCTTCTGCCGGTGTGGCTCCAAACCCCTCGAGTGCATCCACTTTAGGGACCTAGGGTCATTCTGATTCGGTCGGGCGAGGCCGGCCATTTCATCCAGAGGCAGGTTGTCGGCACGTCTCAAAATGGGAGTCCTCCAAAATGGCCGGGCTTGGAAAACAGAGGGAAAAAGGACCAACTGCCAACCAGCAAAAAACTCGCGCAGTCCCAAGGAGCTACAAGCACCGCGCCCGTGAGAGGTAGCCGGGCCACCTTCCCGAGGCTGAAAGCGCTTCCAGCCGCGAGTCAAGGGCAGTCACCATCAAAGCCATGGCAAGTCCAAGCGTTTCGTGTCTTTACATAGCAAGCTGGATGGAAGGATGGCCAACCATTTTGGGACACACGAGAAGGCTTCAGCCAGTGACTCAAGGACTCGAAATCCCGTTGCGGGTCCGGCACCCGCGAGTCTGGGTCAGATCAAAAACATCTGGGGCCTCAGAAATGCGGCGCCGCCGGTTCCAAGACAGCCTTTCCTGGGCCTCCAGTTTAACCTTTGGGCGACCTGACGCATTTTCTGGGCTCACTGCCTGCTTTGGATGGCCGGATTCACGTGTGTTCGAGATGTCTCAGAAGCCCTGGGACGGATTGTATCGAGGATGGTGCCAAACTCATGCAAACTGCTTTTGTCCCTTCTGTTTTTGGGGATCCTTTATGAGTGATTTTTAACAGACCTCATTTGAATGTCAAAATAGGAATTTGGACGCTCATTCCTTTTGGCCTCTCAAACCAAGGTGAAAAGGTCAAAAAGGGTGACATAAACATGGCTGTGATGTGGTGGATATCATTTACAGTTCATATCCACCCACCACTTGTGAACAAGTTCCCTATGAAAAGTCATAGCCATGTGTCAACCGCTTATTCTCATCGAGAGTGGACCCAGGGTTTCCAACTTGACCGTTTGTGGTGTTGCAGGCCCTTTGGAGTTCCCGGAGTGTCTTTTTTTGTCCCGGTTTCCGAGAAAACAATGTAATTAAGGCAAAATGATATGTGATCCAATTCAGTAACCACGGTCTGAAGACATGAACTCGAGGTACTTTAGCTGCATTTCCCTTTCTGGTCACTCAAAATTGTACAGGCTTCACACTCGGGGTTGCCTTTTTCTTCTCACCCTGTTGCCTGTTGCCGTTTAGGCCCCACCTCAAATTGTGGCCCTCAACAATGGATCCTATTTTCCACCTTTGCGCCCAAGCCGCCTCGCACGAACGCAGCTGTTTAGCTCAGCCTCCATGTAGTTTAGAGGGCTCCGGGCACGAGGTCGCAAAGGACCTGGCTCGGAGGCCATGCAGGCCCGTCGATCGCCGGTGAGAGAGAGACGCCTTGACCAGCAGACCAACCTACCAGCAGAAGCATGATCATGGATCATCATTTACCTCATCCAGCACCAGCCGGATCAAGTAACAGCAGGCATCAGCACCATCAGTACCATCAGCACCATCAGTACCATCAGCACCATCAGTACAATCAGTACCATCCGCATCGTCAGCACCAGGATACGCATCACCAGCATCACGAGCATTACAAGCAAGCGTCGCGAAGCATCACCAGCATCAGCATTTTCCGCAGTCTCAGCATCATCAGCATCCCCAGCATCGTCATCGTCAATCAGAGGCATCAGCAGCAACCGCCCAAGGACCACCCAGCACCACCTAGCACCACGCAGCACCACTCTAGCACCATGCGGCACATCACCACCAGCACCATCACCACCAGCACCAACCTCAGCTTTGTGCCAAGTGATCACATCACGACACATCAAAATTCCAAATCGACCCAGCCCAAACAGACAAGGCAACTTGCTGGGTGAGTCAGAGCGAGTCGACGATGGAACACCCTCACAATGTGAGGGATGATGCTTGAAGCCATTGGTTGCACCCCCGCTTGGCTTTGCCAACCCAAAAAGAGGCGCTCGTTGCAAAGGATCCCAAATCCCACCTGTCACGCCAAACTGCCCAACCGCCAGCTTTGGGTGTCGCCAGGTGCGGTTGAGGTGTTGAGCAGGGAACCCCGGCACACGGCTCTTCAGGCGCTTCCATGCCGGGTGCAAGTGGCCCCCCTTTCAACACGTTGGTTTCAACCATGAAGCAAGAGGTTGGCCCAACCCTGCTGAAGCCAATGCGGGCTGCGATTTTTTGGAGAAGAGGATTTTGCAAGCCATTCATTGCAACACAGTGGCCTCCCAAAATTAAAGGTGCTGAAGATGATTATTTCTTTTGCGACTTGGTTCGATCTTCCCTCCAGGAAAGTATACATCTCGCAACTACACGGGTTGAGTTCGGTTGGTGAACTGTGCTGCTGGCATGTTTCTCGCAGGGGCCACCCTGAGCAGATGTTGCTTGCTTTTACTGAAGAAATGACAACAAATCCTTGGAAGTCGTGCAGCATCTCTTCCTGGCTATTTGGAGCCCTCGGCCTTCAGTCGTTTGGTTGAAGCTCTCGGCAATGGGATGCTGGCGCTCAATGTCCCCCCAAATGCAATGTGGGCATGTGTTTAAAGGGAGCCTGCAAACTTGGCTTTCCTTTTGGTACAACCTGATTTCAGACCCCCAAAGCACATACCCATTGGGGGATGCCAACCCCCGCGCTTTGCCCAAATCGTTCCGATGCATGCTTTTGAGACACAACTCGGCTGCGAAAGCCTTTTCCAAAGCCCCCTGTCAGCGCGGTTTCGAGCATTTTGTGACGTGGCAAGGTTATGCGGTGCTCTTGGAGAAGATGGCTGTCGATTTGCATCCTTCTGAGCGAGGCACGGGGTTTCAAGGGCGAAGGCGAAATGCAGAACAAACGCGTCTCAAGATTCATACCTAAGAAGCGTCACTTTGGGAAGACGAGGTCACTGATGTCGGAAGGACCGCACAAGCTGGACGCAGCGGTTTGACATGTTCTGTATACATGTATGCAAGTACCTCCGATACATATGTATATATGTATACATATGCCGACATAAAGATCTGTATACCCCTTTTGCAGGCAATTTTTGTTGGTCCTCTTTGCCAGGTGCTCACCTGCATGGGTTGGGTGGCTCTGAAGAAGGAGGGCATCGTCATGCTCCCGGCGCCCCTGGAGATCAACCCTGCCGCGACCCCAAGACGACCCGCGACCCGCGACGGGGCGACGTGCGGGTTGGGTGAAAGATGCGAGATGATGATGCGAGATGATGATGCGAGATCAATTCCGATGAGTAGAGGGAACTCCTTTTTGGAAACGCCTGGGTGGGTTCCGTGAAAGTCGATGGCGTGTGTCTTGGGTACCTAGCTCCCCAGTTGCCTTAATTTTCCAGCTACTTTGACCAAATTATGGGCTACTAGTGGGTCAAGTGGCTGGAAAAAGTGGCTACTTGGGGTTCCAGGTAGGTCTTATTTTGCGGGTGCCCTTTTTTTGAGTCGTTGTCCAGGCCAATGGATTACCACAACTTTAGGTTTAGTAATCCCCTTTGTTTGCCAAGGAATTGATCTCGCAGCTACTTTCACCCCAAAAGTAGCAAGTGAGCAAAAAGGTTGGTGTTGAGCTTCCCCAAGAGTTAACCCTGGTCGATGTTATAGCCTAGGTCACTAGTCTGGGGCACTACCTGGTCGTTTTTTTGTTGGTTTTTGTGTGTATATTTCCCCCAAAAAGCAGATAGGACCTGTTGCTTCTAATGCTGTTGAAGACGGTTTCCTTAAATTTGAGTGGGACGTTTGAAACAAATCGGGGCTCCGGCCTTAGCCGGCCCTCGGTTTATGCCAAGCGACTCCTTTGAAGCTTTGGGTTTTTCTGGTGGCAATCATAGGCAAGGGCCCAACAGGTGTCCACGTCCTCGGGGCTCGCCAAAAGTCTGCGGATTTTGCATGTTAAGATGGGGCGTTGCAGTGGTGCATACAGACTTCCGCGTGATTTTTATATATTTATTTTGGCGATCTTGTCAGGCGTTTTGGCCAGGGTGGATTGCGACGGTTTTTTGGCTTGCGGGCTTCAAGGCATAAGGCGACCGCTGTCGGTTTTTTCCTTTTCCGGCCGAGGGACGCCGATGGCCAAGTTTCTCTTTTCGACCTCTCCCCTGAAAGCCGGTCTGGGCGAGCAGCAAGTGATTTTTGGCTTTTTGGCTGAGGTGAGAACATGAGAGGCGAAAGGCACATCCTCGGAACCTGTTGAAGGAGACTGTCACCAGGGATTTGTTGATTGTTGGTTTCCATGATTTTTCTTGGCCCGCAGGGGACGCGCTTAGATTGGCATACCCATTCTGCGCGTGCTGAGGCACCCAAAGGCGGAGACACCGCATTCCCCCGGGTCATCTTCAGCTTCAAAGCAGTTCCCAAGTGGGAGATCACGCTGAGCGAGTCTGGAAGCGTGTTCGAAATTCTGAGACTAGAGGCTGAACCACACTATGTGGAGGTAGAAGCAGCAACACAAGTGGCGAGCTCTTTGCCGGCGAGGAGTTTCATGTGATTTGAGTCGGCGTTTTTTGCTTTTGCCGCCGCCCGTGCTGCCGCCAGCCTCCCGGTTCTGGATTTTGCCAGCTCGGATCCTGTGTCGTTTTTGCGTGCCATGGCCCGTCCCGGCTTGGGGCTTGCAGCGTGCGGGAAGACCAACCTGGACGCCTCTCTATCCGTCTTGGACTTTTTCCTCTTGGGCCTTGCCTCGTCCACTCGCAGCTTTTCCCACGCCGCTCCGCCGGCGCCTGTTCTGGGCTCCGCCCACTTGGGCTCTTTGCCGCCACTGCGCTCCTCCGCCCGCCTTGGCCCCGCCCTTTCCCCGCTGGGCCGCCTCCGCGTTGGTCTTCCGCTGGCGGCGCCGGATGCCGCGTGGACCGGAAGTTCGCCTTCGGCTCGGAGCGCCGCTCGGTCGGACTTGGCACCAGCGGCGTGGGACTGGGCGCACTTTGGCGCCTCGCCGTCGTCGAAAGGCGCCGCCTGCTTGGGTCCATCTCCGGCAGTTTTAGCGGCCGCCCGCCTTGGTCTTGCTCTCCTTGTGCCGGATGCCTCCACCCCAGATGCGTCCTCGTTGTTGCGGTCCCTCGCGTGCCCTGGCTTGTTGCCATCGGCTTTGGACCTCATCCAATTCGGCCCTCCTTTGCTTCCCAAAAGTTCCGCCGGCCTGGGCCCTTCGCTGTTTGCCCCGTGCTCGGCGCGGCTGGGGCTGCCGCCCTCAGCACCAGAGTTTTGTCACCTGGGTGCGCCGCCGCTGGCTCGAACACCTGCTTGTCTTGGGCTGCTGGCGTCAGCTCTGCCTTCCAGCCAAGTGGGCTCCTCTTTACTTCTGCGGGCCTCCACGCAACTAGCCCCCTTTCTGTTGGCTGTTGGTGCAGTGCAGCCAGGCATCCCAGCACCGGCATTGGACTGGACACTCCTGGAAGTTTTGCCGTCGCTCCGTGGATTCGCGCGACTGGACGCACCATTGACTGCGTTGGACTTTGTGAGTGCGAGCGCCGCGCCATTCTCGCAAGCACCTGGACGCATGGCACTTCTGATGCCGGCTTGTGGAAGTGGAAGACCCGGCAGCACCTCACTGGCTTTGGATTTTGTCCAACTGGAACTCGTCCTGTTCGTCCGGAGTTTTGCGCGCGGCCTGCCGCTACCTGTCTGGGGCCTTGCGCATTTGGGCAGCTTCCCTTCGCTTCGAAGCCTCAATTAGCCAGATCTCCCCTCGTTGTTGTCTGGCTCTGGTCGTTCGGGCTGCACCGCGCCGGCTCTGGATTCTGCATGCTCCGGCGCCGCCCTACCTCTCCACAGCACCAGCCGCCCAGGTCCCACGCCCTCCGCCTCCGACCTCGCCCAGCCAGGCCCGCCGCCGGCTTTGCGCTGCTCCGCATGCACGGGACCCTCGGCGTCGGCGCCGGCGCCGGCGCGCGCGGGGCTGGGCTTATCGGCCCCGGATTTCAGCTGCCCGGGCTCTGCCACCTCCTCGAGAAACTCTGCGCAGCCCGGGGCTGCAATGTTGGCTGCCGACGCGTTCGGTGCTGGTGCGTCTCTGCCGACCAGGAGCTTCGCATGAGTCGGGGCATTTGTGCTGGCACCTGACCTCGCGCCTGCTGACAGCCCTCTTGTCTTGAGAAGCCTCGCCCAAGTGGGATCCTTTGCACTAGCCCTGGGTCCAACGCAGCTTGGGCTTGTGTTCTCTCCCTCAGTTTCAGAGTTTGCTCACCTTGGCGTAGCCCTTCCGCTGCGAAGCTTTGCCTGTCCGAGCACTTTGGTGCTTGCTCTTGATCCTGCCCACCTCGGCCCTTTGCCATCCCCACGCTGCGTTTCTCATTTCGGCCCTGCGTTGCCTCCTTCCGGCCTTTCCCGTTTCGAGCTGGTGTCCTCTCTCTCGGTTTTGGACTCCACCCTTCCGGGCCCTTCTTCACCGGCCCGCGCCTCCGCTCGCTTGGGCCCGGCGCTTTCGGCCTCGGGCCCCACCCACCCTGGGCCGCCGCCGCCGCCGCGGAGCGCCGCGCGCCTCGGCCCCGCGCCCTCGGCGCCCACGAGGTCGCGGCTGGAGGCGTCGCTGCCGGCGCCGGACACGGCGCACTTCGGGCTGACCTCGGCGCTGCGGCATCATGTCAGGGCCTCAATATGGGGTGCTCCCGTGATTGCTGTATATACATATATGTATACATATATTTGGATATGTACATAGATATGTATATATATTTATGTGCCTTCATTATGTATGTATATGTAATATACAGTGCAAACTTATCAAAGGGCATTACCTTTTTTCACGCCCCTTCTAAAGTTCTCTTTGACTCATCGTGGGGAAAGGTGCCGGCCTGACAGATATGTACACATATGTATGTGTATACAGATATGTTGTTTGTTGTTACGATCACTATTCAGTCGAATCAGCCAGCTTCAAGGAGAGGCTTTGCCGGCCAGGCCGAGCTTCTTGTCTAGTGGGTGCTTTGCACGTCAAAGACATTGGGTAGAGTCGCCTGCATGATGAAGTTGCATGCCAATTGTCAGCATGCTTGCCATCACCCTCGCCATGGCTGTGCCACCTGTTATGTCACGTGGGGCATACTTGAATTGAGGGGAGGGGACTTGAATTCCTGTGAGACAAATCATGCCCTACCCCAAAAAACCTGAATCCTGAAAGGGACACGCTGGAAGACCAACTTTCTCTGCTTGCTTTTGGGAGGGTTGTTTTGGGTTTGGCAGGGCATGAAAGAGCAAGATGCCAGAGTTGAGTCGGGCTTGAGTCTGTGATCCTCTTGTCACCCTGCAATCCAAGGCACATCTTGACAGTCTTTCATCGACTCCGCAGACGTGCGCGTGTGGCTTCGCGATGTCTGTCCTAGATTTCTCGCACCTTGAGAGTATTTCGTTGCCTCGTAGCTTTGCCAGATTGGGCCTTCCTGCTTTCGCTTTGGATTCCGCACATCTTGAATCTAGTTTGCTTTTGAGAGACGTGTCCTGCTGTGGTGTGCTGCTTCCCGTGCTGGGGCTGAGCCGCCCTGGGCTTCTATCCTCCTTGCCGGCCACAGACTTGACCCAGCCCGGCGCGGCCGCCTCTGCCCGCAGCCTCGCCCGCTTGGGCTTGACTCCGCCAGTTTCGGGTCCCGCCCAGCCGGGGCCTTTGCCGCCTCTGCAAAGCTCCGCGCGCGCGAGCTCCGCGCCGCCCGCCTTCGGCGCGGCGCGTCTCGGCAGCCTCTCCTCGCTGCCGGCCACCGACTCCGCCGCTTTCGGCGCTTCGCTGCCCGCGCGGAGTTCCGCGCGCCCGGGGCCCGCGGCTTCGGCGCCGGACGCCGTGCGCCCGGGCCTCGCCTTGCCGTTGCAGGCCGCCGCGCGCTCGGGGTCGGCGCTGGTTGTGTTCTCTGGCCAAGGCCTGGGGTCTTTGATGGTCGCCCTGGACTTTTCGGTTCCGGGCAGCCCGCTTTCAGCCAGGAGCACCTTGCGGCCGGGTTTTTCTGCGGCGGTGTTTCAGCTGCGCCTGGGCTCCCCTCTGCCGGCGCCGGACGCATCAAGGCCCGGAAGTTGCTTGCTTCTGAGAAGCTCCCACCAGTCAGACGCTCTGCCGCTGGCTTTTGGCGCCACACAACTTGAGCTGACCTCCTTGGTTCTTGATGTGTCCTGTCTCGAGCTTCCGCCAACACCTCAGAGTCATAGCTGCACAGATCCCCTGCTGGCCGCATTCGGTCTGCTGAAAGCTGGCCTCTCCCTCTCTGTGCCAGACCTCAGCCACCTAGAGCCTTTGTCAGTTTTCCGCGCCCTTGCGCAGCCAGAAGCGTTTGCACTTGTGATGGGCGCCCGTCTAGGAGTGTTTTTGCCCGCCATGGATTTCACACACTTGGACCCCCTTCCGCTTGTTCAGAGTTCTTCTTGCCCCGAAGTCGCTCTGCCCGTATGTGCAGCTGCCCGTGTGGAAGCCTTTGCGCTGGCGCTGAGCTTCTCGTGGCCAGGCCCTTCCTTGCTGATACAAGCTTTCGGCTGTCTTGGTGCCTTTCTTCTCCTAGCAACCTGTGCAAGAATTGGACTGTTGATTCTTGTGCCAGACTCTGCCTGCTTAGACTTCCTGTTGTTATTGCGTCAAGGCCGTTTGGACTTCTTGCCACCGGTCCTGGGCTTTATGTGCCCTGGTTTGTTCTCAGCTGTTTCAGACTCCGCCACTTCGGGCCTCGCTGTGCTTCTTCGGGCTCCCGCTCGTCTTGCCTCCTCAGCGCCGGTTCCTTGTTCGGCCCATGTGGAGTCGCCTTTGTCGCCTCGTTCCGCCGGCAGATCTGCCTCTCCACTGCCGGCCCCGGGCCTTTGCCGCTTGGCGTTCTTCTTGTCGATCTTCGACGCGGTCCGGCCGGGTCCCGTGCTGTCTCCGCGGGCGCTGGCGCATTTAGAGCCTTCAGTGTCGGTGATGAGCACTGGCCGTTCAGGGCTGGCGCCGCTCGTGTGCGACTCTGCCCACTCCAACTTGTTCTTGCTTTTGCGGGGTGTCGGCTACTTGGGCGTGGCATTCCTGTTGTTGTGTCGGATGTGCTTGGGCTTTCCGCCATCTGCCTCCGACATGTTGAGTCTGGAAAGCTTGCTGTCTTCAAGAAGCCTGTGCTGCTCCGGATCGGGGCTTTCAGTGGCAGGGAGATGCAAACTCGATGCCTTGTCGCTCGCCCTGGATCTGGTCTCGCCCGGCCTGCCCTTGCCATTGCGTTCATCCTCGCAGATAGGCTTCTTTCTTCCGGTGACAGGGAGGCTGTCCCTGGGCTTGTCGCCGCTTGCCCCGGATGGGGCGACTTTGGGCCCATCAGCTCCGCTCCGAGCTGTTTCGCGCATCGGCCCTGCGACGTTGGTGCCTGACCTGAGTAGTGCAGGCAGCTCAGTGCCGTTGCAAAGCCCCGCCCATGCTGACGCATCGGCTGTGGCCTCAGACTACTCCCATCTTGGCAGCCCTCCCTCTCCGCGGTCCTTCGCATGTTGTGGCTCGACCGTTTCAGCCCCAGACCACTCCACCACGGGCGCTTCCCCGGCCCCACGCAGCTCCGCTCAGCCGGGCTCTGCGTTGACAGTCCTTGGCCCGGCCTTTGCCGGTGCTTCGCCTTCGGCGCGGTCCTTGATGCGTCTGGGGCTCCCCTTGGCGCCAGGTGGGCTCGGAACGCCGGGCACCTCGTTTTCGGCCGCGGATCTCGCGGTACCTGGGCCGCTCTTGTCCGCCAGATCTCCTTGCAAGCCAGGTGTGGCGCTGCCAGCTCCGGACCCTGCCTTCTCAGGCAGCTCGTCATCTTCGCGCGCCCCAGCGGCCTTGGGCTCCTCATTGCCGTGCTTCAGGCGAACCGCGCCGGGCCCGTCTCCTGCCGCGCTGGACATGGCACACCTGGGCCCCTCACCACCTGCGCGCGCCTGCGCTCGCCTGGGGCCTTCACTGCCCGTGGCTGGGTCTTGGCGCCTCGGCGCGTCGCCCCCCGCGCTGGACTCGGCGCGGCCGGGCCTCTCGTCGCTGGCGAAGAGGCCCCTTTGAGCCGGCGCGCCCGCGGCAGCCTTTGGCATGGTGCGACTGGAGCGGCTTGGCTCATAGCAGTTGGTGC